GGCTAGCGCGCCGCCCCTGAGCCGTGACCGTTTCCCTCACTTGAACATGAAACATTGCCCCACTCGGCTTACATATTGACACTATCCCGGGGCATGATTTACCGGTACAGGTTATGAACTGAAATACCCATCTTGAAGATCTTTCGGTGCTGCTTACAATCCTGCCCTTTATAAGGCCCAAGTCACTCTAGTTTTTGGACTCTGCGCCCGCGAAAATGGGGAAAGGCTTATCAGGGTGAGTATTTCAAAGTCGCCTTGGCATTCATTACGTCATAATAACGTCATTCAAATCCTGACATCCCATAAGTGCGGCGATCAAGGCCAAGACAAATATGATTCTCGAGGCGTTCATGTTTAGCGTTTGAGAGCGTGACTTCAGACATAACGGCCGTCAATTGGCTCTCAATCAACGTTGTGCAAGGTACGATAACGTTATCTACCTTAACATTTCTTTCCCTAAAATTTCCTTTGGCACGTCTTCGTTCACGCGCCCAGTGGCGAAGCCCAACGCAAATTTTAGCTCTTCTTAGTGTTATCACCATTCATCAGGTGAAATAAGGCCATCAAATGTAAAAACAACGAACGCGAGCAGCAGCAGCTTCAAACGTTAGGTAAACAATACGGTTTTACCTTTACCAATGTAGACGCGCTCGTTCGTTACTTTCCGGACTCCAGAGCGCAAATAGAATGGTGGGCTGATGGAAACAAAACTTTTTGTTGACAGTTGCGCGCCTTTAAATCACACACATATGTACATATTTGTAACCATGTATCCATATAAGTGTATATAATGGTTATATGATATGCATATATATATATATATATATATATATATATATATATCCGGTTGTGTATATAATGGTCGCATGATATGCACATATAATATATATATATATATATGTATATATATATATATATATATATATATATATATATATATATATACACCGTATAGTACTGACGCACTGTGCCTGAGACATAAACTCTGTGAAAGTCACCCCATGTAACAACTAGCCTCATTCTCCGCTTATAAAATAACAGGGAGCATTGCACGTCTAAACTATACATATATTGTTCCCACGCTCTCGACGGAGTTAGTGCGATGCATGCGTTGCTAACATGTAGGTATTCCAACAGAGCGTGAGCGGAATTACATCGTATGTAAAATAAAAACAAAAATATTGCACGTATAATTCACACTTAGTATATTGGCTGTACTTCATTAGCATTGGCGACCTATCAATCATTATTCTTGACACTGCCATATTTTCAGTTGCATGCCATCACTATGAGTTCCATCCACTACCTTTTACCTGGGAGGCGCCAATATTTTTTGTTGTATTTTTCATCTTAATGGAATACGTTGATTTTATCGCCCTTAGCAGGGAGTGGTGTGAGTTTGCAAACTTTGAGTTCCCAATGTAAACGTTACCCTGTTTGCCGCGCATGTGCGGGAAAGACGCTCTTAGGCACTTGTTCCTGGGTGATTGTGTAGAAGTAAAAAAAAATGCTTCAACCTTCTTTCCATTTACAAAGGAATATAAAAAGAAGTGTCATGATATAATAAATGCATGCTTATCAAAAAAGCATGCAAAATTTGACGCTTGACAATTTTCAAATTTTCGTACCGGCAAATCACACGATTCTATCGAGGACAGGTGTTGATATCAAACCTTTAACACGATGAGACCTGAGTATTTTTGCCAAATTTGTGACTTGCCGATACCAGAACACTTTTTGCATTTCGGTGTGATGATTCTATTTTGATATGTTACTTGATTTTGGCTCCTCTAAATTCAGTATGGTGATCTGCTGTTAGACATCAAACAGCCGTTGAATCGGCTAAACCAGTAAATGTTTCTCGACAGAGGTGACGGAGAACCAGTGTGTGTATCATATCCATGGGTGGAGCTTTGCGTCTGTGTGGAGAGACTTTCCTATCCCCCGTCACCCAATGTTTGCATCGCTCCCTCATAGTATTTGACAAAAATAGAAAGCTCAAGGCCAAAATCATTTTATTTTTCCCAAAGCACGACACGTACCAGGCAAGATTCGATCTAATATGAAATGAGCTGCTATGCTTCTTTTGTCATTTGGGTCATTAGAACTCGGTGATTTATATAAGATTGTTCCACGAATACACCAATCTTATGCAAGGAGGTATAGCAACGCAGCGGACGTAGTCACACATACAAGCCTCCTGAAGCGGAGGTTTGTCCATGGTCATCCAATAGTCGGCCGGTGCCGCGGTGCTTACATAGACACCGCTGGTGTAAACAGCGGGGCAGTTACCCAGCGTCGAGCCGGCGGCCGACGACCAGCCGACGGCCAGACTGCCAGACTACCAGCCGGCGGCCAGACTGCCAGACTGCCAGCCAGCGGCCAGCGGCGGGCCGCAGCCGAGCCACTTCTCGGCCGCGCCTGCTTCACGCTCCACCTGCCACCCGCTCACTTGCCAGACTGCACATACGCCTGGTGCACGGCCGCGGGGTCATCACTACCACACCAACACAGCACCAACAGCGGCAACACACCAGCACCACACCGCCGGCGGCAAGGGCAGCCACCTCTCCCTGCCGTCCCGGTCCAACAACTGAGATAGGGCCTGGCGAGCGCGGCTGCCAGCGCCACTTTCTTTTCTTACAACAAACATTATAACTCTATAACTCAGTTTCTACCGACATTAACTTGGTTACCCGACGCTTCAACGGGATAAATGAAATAATGTGATATCAAACAAACTTTATTATGGCCGGCCGGCTGTATGAGGAGCGATAATTTGATCAGTGGCCGCCGGAAGGCTGGCCTGCGACCGGGCCGCGGCCGGCGGCGGCGGGCCGCACCCGGCCCGGCGTGTCCCGGGCCCCGGCGGCCGGGCCGGCGCAGGGGCCGTCACCGGCCACAGCGGTGTGGCATCAAAACATGGAGAGAGAGAGAGAGAGAGGTCTCCGACCAGGGGCTGTCACCGACCACAGCGGTCTGGCATAGAAACACGGAGAGGGAGAGAGGTCTCCGGCCAGGGGCCGTCACCGGCCACAGCGGTCTGGCACAGAAACATGGAGAGAGAGAGAGGTCTCCGGCCAGGGGCCGTCACCGGCCACAGCGGTCTGGCACAGAAACATGGAGAGAGAGAGAGGTCTCCGGCCAGGGGCCGTCACCGGCCACAGCGGTCTGGCACAGAAACATGGAGAGAGAGAGAGAGGTCTCCGGCCAGGGGCCGTCACCGACCACAGCGGTCTGGCACAGAAACATGGAGAGAGAGAGAGGTCTCCGGCCAGGGGCCGTCACCGGCCACAACGGTCTGTCATTGGAAAAGAGAGAGGGAGAGGTCCCAACTCTCATCCACGTGGGAGAGATGAGGTGACCCAGTGCCTTCCTGTTTGACGTGAGGTGGGCCGTGCCAGGTTTATGGGGTTCGACCATCCGTCTGTTGGCGTCTGTACGACCGCTTGGTGGTTCTCTGTCTGCCTGCCTCGGCGGAGTGGCTCGCGTCCTCTCCGACCGGCGCCTGGCGGTGACACGAGGAGTTCCTGGCGTGGGTTCCGGTGCGACAGGGAACTCCCGGGCGGAGGTGTGGTCTTGCGCTGGGCTGTAGGTCAGGGCCGGTAGTAATGCCAGCGATACTACGCCAGTGAATACCGCGGGTCGGTAGCGTGACTGTCAGTGCGCAACCATTTCAAGCTACGGAGATGGCTGACGCAACTCATGATGTTTTGGCACAGGCGCTCTGTATCGGCATTTGCATGCCATAGCGTCGCCCCGACCAGTCCATCTGACAGCTGTGAAGAGGGGTCAGCTCTCAGTGTTCTGCTGCCGGCATGAAAACTTCCAATTGGTGCAAGATGGTTCGGCAGAATCAATTGTGAAAATCGTTATGTTTGGAGCTGGGGGAGGTGGAAAATTTAGGCAGATCAAGCTCAGAAAGACTTGAGTCTATGACATGAGTGTGCCCCACATGCTGTGTCCAGCGCGGAAGTTATAACCTGGCTTCAACGGAATGTTTCACATCTGGAGACATTGAAGCAAGCCAGATATGAATGACTCGACGATCATATTTTTTGGCCTTGATCGCCGCGTGGCTTATGGAATAGCAGTATTTGAATGACGTTATTATGACGTCATGAATGCCAAGGTGATTTTACAATAATCTCCCCGATGTGCCTTTCCCTACTTTCACGGGCGTGCAGCTTAGAAACTAGAAGGGCTTAGGTCTTAAGAAGGGCAGGATTGGGGCCAGCATCAAATTTTTTTTAAGATGGCCATCTCAGATCAACACCCCCAAAATTTGAACATTTCCTTTAAAAAAAATCATAGTTCACAGGACAGGGTTAGATTCAATAAAGGCTGGGAGCAATAAATAGTAAAATTGCCATTCATGGAACTGATCGATGCAGATACAGATTTCTAGAATAATGGAAACAGTAATTGATATTAAAGGCTGCATATTTTGTCGTTATTCATATCATTTTTCTTCAGTTTAGAAGTGGCCAGAATTTTTGACGGGCAGTGACTACCCTCTGAATCAGCCTTCCTCAGCTGCGACCGCAGCCTGTGGCGTATGGCGCTTAGCCATGCCATTACCACCCTCTATGTTACGAAACGCTCATCATCGTCTTGTATTGTCGTGCCGGTGAACCAAAGTAAGTACCAACATACAAAACAATGATCGCTCAACTGTGCAACCAATGAACAGTGTGTACGCTCCAACAATTTCTATACCAAACTATCAAGACTTCTTTCACGACATGCAAAACCATTAGTCATCAGTATGACATCTACTTGGCAAAGTGACGCCGAAGCATGGTTGGCGGCGGGCACCGTCAGAGCCCCAACACAGCTGTTCGACCATGACGCCCCACACCATGCTCCTCGCTGCTGCACGGATTCAGCTGCCTGCGTGTGCCCCCCCCCCCCCCCCCCCACCTCGCAAAAGGCTGCGCCGCTCGGCGGCTCACCGGCCTCGGGCCCGGCTTTGACCCGCCGTCCCGCCGCGCCGGCAGGACTGCCCTACAAGATGTACAGCGCCCACGACACCATGCTGACGGAGAAGCGGAAGCAGCGGCGCATCCGCACCACTTTCACGTCGGCGCAGCTGAAGGAGCTGGAGAAGGCCTTTCAGGAGACTCACTACCCAGACATCTACACCCGTGAAGAGATCGCCATGAAGATCGACCTCACGGAGGCCAGGGTCCAGGTCAGTGCTTGTTCTAGCCTAAGTTTCTCCAGTCTAATAACTCGCTATCTGGCCGGCTGAACAGACGTGGCCCATTAACCGACGGCAGGGATTTACATATACTATGCGTTTTTTTCTAATTTCGTGCGACTCTACGCCCTTGGCAGTCAGAAAGTATCACATATCTTATAAAACAACTTTGACAGATAAGCATATATTTTATTGTCTACCACGCTCTCAGTCAATCATCTGGCCCGTGTGTAAAAAATCCGGCGTATCCAGCTAATAAGGTTCATCATTGTGTATCGTGGGCAGATTACAAGAGGATCTGGCAGAGGTTTTTGTGACCGTGGGCGAGTTAGCAGATACAAACAAGTAGATAGCTGCTTACCGCATGACTGACCTGCTGCATTCTACCTGCGGATATTTACAGAGTATTGTGTCAAAACTAAGCTACTACTATTTTAAACGTCTTGGTGTCAGGGCTGCCCCAAACTGCTCACGCCATGTCTGAACTTGGAGGGCGTTGGGACTTCCCATTCCATTTTCTGGTCGAGTAGCAAATCATACGGCCTCCATTTGACATCAGAAGGCTTCTTTTGGCTTGGTCGCGATATCAAGCTAGCTAGCAAGCATTTTAGGGCTGATGTTGATAACAAAGACATTCATCTGACGGAGTACAACGGAGCTAGACAAATCGAAGTATTTGACAGCATTCGTCCTCAATCTAATACAGTGCCCATCGATTTCTTTAAGTGGAGTGCTACATTACGCCGTCCGAGCTTCGATACTTCCTCTTTTTAAGGAAATTTACTCTACATGCGCTGCATTCGTGCCGTGCGGCTCAGACCGGATGCCGAGCCGGGCCCTGGACGCAGCAATCCTGCGGATTAGCATGCGTCCGGCGCCCGCCGTGTCACTGCGCCGCCAGCGCCGTCGCGCTCGGTCCCCGCCCGCGACGTGTCAGTGACGGCTCTTTGTCGCCGCCTCGTCAGCGTTTCGCCGTCACGCTCATCACGGCGTCACTCGTCACGGAGCCGGTGGCCGCTGAGGCGGACTGCCGCGCGGCCGCCCCGGTTCGCGGCACGTGCCGCCACTGCGGCGGCCGCCGGCGCGCCGGCACCGCCCCGCCGCCCCGCAACCGACCGACAAGCGTCAACAATACCAGTTCACGCCTTTCACCGTTCGCTAGATCGGTCATCTGATTTTCCGCGCCATCTAGCGAGCCCCGGTCGGGCCCGTTCCCATATCGGGCGTCCAATTGAATTAGCGGTGCGCGGCGGCGGCGCTTCGCCGGCGCGGGCCCTCCGGCGATAGGATCGCTCCGCGCGCCCGGACGCCGGTGGCGCCGCGGCCCCGACAGCACCGGCGCGATTACGGGCTTTGTCGGCGCTCATTTGGGCGGCGGCGGAAGGGCCGGCGCGGGCGGGCGGGGGCCGGCCGGCTCTGATCTCGGCCGAGACACGCGGCCGGCCTGTAACCCTGCCCGCCGCCCGGCCGCCGCCGCCGATTACCGGCCGGCGCCCTCCGCGATTAAGCGACCTCTCTCATTGTGTCCGGGGAGCGGAGCATCGCCTGAGCTCGTGCTGATCACGATGTGTGAGTGTGGAATGCAAATAGATGAATAGCGGATGGTGCTGGATGGGTGCCAGTCGTTGCCTATCAGTGGGATAGAAGGCGTACCTCTCATGGGGCATTAAGCGTCACGTAAATTACATCGTATTGCACGTGTTCAATGGGCTTGGGTACAGCGTCATGCGACCCGTCCGGCGGCTCGCAGTTTTTTCCGAGTTTTCCAGACGCAGACAGGAAAAAGGACTCGGATTAATAACACCATGTGACGTCTGAGCTAGATAGTTCTTTTCATCAGGTCTCTCTCGAGTCAAAACACTTATATGCTCCATCGCGTTGCCTCGGGACACCAGAAACGCATGTTTCTGATCTCGAGAAACGTACGCTTTTTCTTACTATGCATGTTTCTCTAAACTAAACGTATATCAGAAACGCATGTTTGCGATAGCATCTGAGGTACGGTGGTGCTTTCCTACCACCTCTGAAATGGGATCGGAACGCTCCAAAGCTTATAGAACTGCGGCTATACCGTGATTTCTATGATCCGTACTCCCGAACCAACCTGAGCATGCTGGGATTGAGATCAGCAAACCTTTCGAAAATATCTAGGGGAAATAAAATGTAACGCCAGCCTCCGAACCTGGACGTGTTGTGAACCTTTATCGCTCATAGACTTCCTTAAATCCAGGGTTTTTGGCAGAACATTGCAGTGATGGAGGTACAGCTAAACAAAACTTCACTGAAAACCTAGTTTAGCAAATCGCCGGTGCGCGAAATTTATCGCATGGCGTACAACATCACATTGGCTCGGTCTGATCAGCTTTACAGACCACGTTGAATTTGTGGCTGTCAGCATTTGGTCACGTACATTTTAACGCATGTAATAAGTTTGATAAGAGGGGAGGGGGGGGGGACGCCTCCATCCAGGGACCACCATTTGGATACGCCTCTGTTCAAGTATGCATGCCGACGGTCAGGAACGGCGAAAAGTTATCCGTTGCTTTTTAATCTAGTACTCTGCACGCTAGTGTGCGAAACAACATACCCTGCGTCATCAAAGCATATCCAAAGACACTATACATATCCCATATCCCACAACATATCCCTGCGTCATCATAGGTGCGAAAGTTAAAGGATTACGTGCACTCACAACTATTTACACGCGCATGAAATCGCGACCTCTTCCGTTTTTATGATATCTTTCCCATCGCTCGTTTTCCCATCGTTCGTTCCTTACGCCTGGATTATTTTGATGTCACCTGGTGCTTGTCCCGCCCCGGGTCAAAAGTTTAGGGACGAGGACATCGTCTTTGCAAGATGTTTCTTGCAAATGTCCGTTCCCATGTAACGCCACGGGTGCAACACTCAATTTCGAAAAAAAAAATATTTGAGAAACTTGCCATCTCCATTTCCTGTGATGACAAAGCGCGCGAGAAAATATGACGTAGCAACCAATTTTGCTCATTTCTTCAGTCGCAACGCGGGCCCTCCACCTAAACAGGCACTCCTGATGCTCGTCGGAATGCAATGGCTTCATAATCGGAGTTTCCTGAGATAATGCACTTCACTGCAACTGGTTCCACATGGTCTGCTGGCACCATTGCCTTACCGGAGTTCTCTGCTCCGCCATCGGACTTGCGAGTATCCGTCACGGAGGATGGACGCCTATAGAGACGGTGTCGACACTGCATTGGACCCATTATCAAAATGGATGCTCACAAGACACTGCGACGCCCTGATGGTCGTCCCCACAGTTGCCCTCATCGTCCTCACGGTTGCCCTCACGGTCGTCTATAAGGCCATGCAGCGCACCTTGTGATGGCTGCATGGGTCTGTGAGATGCTACGACGCCTTCGTGCCCGGAAATTCTCAAATTTTTACCGCTGTGCCAATCGGCCCATTTCGTCCTCGTGAGTGAGAAACCCCTGAGCCAGTGCGTTACTCCCGTGATCACGACTAGGAGCCGTTGAGACTGCAGGCACAGAGAGCATATAATCTGTAGAACTTTCCCAGAACACGCAGTGTGAAACCGGTAGATGCGATTTTTTACTTAGCGCAGATATTATATACTTATAAAGATTGTGGTAGCTTGGATCAAGCGGTAAAGTGCATTACGAGTGCATGCAAGTTTATCCCCTTTTGAAGCTACAAAGTACGAATTTCTGTGCATAGCTACTTGTCCTTACAGCCTACCTGTTCTTACACAGTTTAGATCTTGGGAAGGTTAATGATGCGAAGATTGGGGTGCAAAAAAAATGACACGTTGTGTCTTTCCCGACATAATGCGAAGTATGATTTGGGAAAATACGTTACACGAAATTGTGCCCAGCTTTGCTCGTGCAGTTTCGCTTGTGCGTCGCGGCTCAGATATTCTTTTTTACGGAAAACACATTTCAGTAAATTCACCGTCTTAAATTCAGTATTTTTGTTTTACCTGTGATGGAAACCACCGAGTGAGAATTATGTCCGCGTTCGTTCATTCACGAAAAACTCACGTGAGTTTTGTATGCAATATGCACCACACAAATTCACCTGAGCCCTCATGTTCAAACACTTATTTATTCAAAAGTTAATGCTTCATTCATGTCGGGTCTTTTCGGTCTGTAGCTGTCCACACCTTTTAAGAAATACATTATTTCATAACCGATTTACAGCACAAGCTGAAGGAGCTCAAACTTGTATCATAGACTACAACTTCGTCACTTAAATATTCCGCCGGTATTTTGAAACTCTTCTAATGCCATAGGCTAAGATGTAAATAGTCATAAATACTTACAGTTTAGCATGCAAGTGTGCCCTCCATGTGGAACACGTATATATATATATATATATATATATATATATATATATATATGTATGTATATGTAAATACATGTGTATGTACACACGTACAATAAAGACTGTAACCTCGGCAAATAGGCATCGACCATACCTAGAGTACTGCTCAACCGTCTTTGAATGTCTTTAGAATACAGATTTTCTAACCTGGGCTAATGCGAGGCATTGCAGCTGCCATAATCCTCGTAGATGTGCGCACGGGGATCACGGGAGACACACAATTATTTTTCCCCCCTGCCTACCCCAAATTTAAAGCACAATTCCCTTCAAAAGGCGAGTTGAAGAAAGCAGATCGGACGTCCTATTTGTTACGCTATGCGACCCACCTGCTTCCCTCCCCCATCCTCTACCCTCCCTCCCACCCCAACCATCCACACCACACATTCAGACTCCACTTGCATCGTTTCTTGATCGAACCTAGTACGGTTTCATAATTTCTCTGTCTTGATCGAACCTAGCATGGTTTCGTTCGGACGAACGGACGGAAACAGTGTTGCGGGAAAGCAGTGGTATGGAAAGTATCGTAGCAGAGTATGTAAGGAAACGATACACCAAGATGGGAAATTTCAAAGAAACTTTTGAAAACGCTACCAGATCTGCGTAGGAATGCA